ATAATTCATGTGTGTACATAAATATCATCAGCGAGAGCCCAAACAAAATTTATTATTAAAGTTGCCAAATGCTGGCATATTTTCAACCTCCCCCCCCCCCCAAACTACCCCTTGGGAGAGGTCTCAGGCAGCTTTTCATGGTCCAGTGGCGCAGCATTATGGCCTGGTATAATCTGGGGCTTTTTGGAATTAATTGACAGGGGCTTGGGCCTCTGAGGTAGGGATTTTGTTGGAAGGCAGAGAGGAGAATGACTTCAGCTAATTGGCAATGTCAAGTCAGGTCACTGGGAGTGTACTGCTGTGATTTTGGGGGTGGGGTATGCCTATGTGCATTTCTGGGAATACCTATATTTTCTGGAGTTCAGATTATATTCTCTTCCCCCTGGAATTTTCCTCCCTTCTTTTTGGAGGATGGGGAGTGGGGGTATATAGGCTTACATTTCTTGGTAATTTATATATTTATGCTGGATCAACAATTTTGGGATAACTTTTCTGGAGTTCAGGTTTCAGACTTGAGGTTTTGGGTGATCAGGTTTTCTTCCCATCCTGACATGCTGAGTCCCTTCTTTTTTGGGGATGGGCAGGAGAGGATTTGGCCCCCTCCCATTCAGCAGCTGGATAATGTTATGAAAATAGTAAAATGGGGCCAAAAATAATAATTGGAATGCTAAAGTTCCTAGTAAATTTTATTCTCAAACTGACTTAGAATACAGGATAAAGCATAGTAGATTTTCAAAATTTGCCCCCTTCATATAAACGTCCACCCGGCCCTCCCCATTTTTCCCCCTATAACAATATTGGGTATTAAACTAGTCACTCTAGCATCCAGCTATCTGGGGACCTATTGACTGACTTTTCTGGAACATAGTCCATTTTATGGAAGTTGGGAATCCTATCCTGCACTGTTGAATGTTCAGAGCCCCTATTGTTTGCGATGAGTCATGTGGGTTAATGTGACAGAAACCTAAGAATTCATTGTTTGGAAGAATCACCAAAAATTGAAAGCGCCAATGGTTTCGACCCATCTTTACCGAATCGATTCCATCAGTGCGACATTGTTGATGGACACTTAAATAGTTTTCCTTCAAAACATTGATCTATTTGTTCAAAAAATTCCCCTCGGGTACGGTAAGGTTACGGAAAATAAGAAAAACCGGGATCTTTTTTTCCAGAAATGCTCCATTTTGCTGTCCCGTTAGAAAAAGCTTAAGTTACCTCGGTGGTAGCAATTGAATCACAGACCTCTATCGATCTGAACTTTCTTTCAAGCAGCAGAAACCTGATAGTGAACCCTGGTCCCTGCTCAGTCTGAATCGGAGGAGGCGGCAAAAGTTGTATCGGTTGGAGTTCCGGGATGCTTTTATTAGCACGTTAATTGAGAAGTGACAAGGAATTCTTGATGATGATAAAATAGGGGAATCTGATCCACGCCTTGATTTGGTTTCAAGATAGAAAGCGGACATGCTAACAGTGCTCCCCAAGTCCCCAGTCTATTTTGTTCTTTCTAAAAAGCGATACGCGCCAACAAAAAAAAAAGGCAGCGTGAAAAGGTTAACTCGATATACTCCGTTCGCTGGAGTCACTCAATCGAACGTTGCGATTTTGATTGTCTGCGACACAGAAAGTCATTCCGTTCCTGGAACGGCAGAGCTACCCTGTGATGTAACCAGACAGCCCCAGACAACCTTGTTAACTGCTCGGTTAACACTTAATGGGCGGCCTGGCTTGTCGGGGGAAGTCTGCAGTGACCGTACACTCCATTTTATTTTTAGTCAGCCGCATGGACACTACTCTGTATACTACTCTAGTCCTCCCTATAGCACTTGGTAATCACAGTATACAATTAAGCTATTGCCAAGCTGCGATTTTGGACACATTTTGATCGAATCATAATGGGAAGATAGGGGGCCTAAGTTGTTGTTTTTATTTACTTGGGATTGGGAATGGGATTACAGTTGATGCTCTACAGGCAATGCAGAATTGAGGTTAATATGCCAAGCAGGGGGCTTAAGAATATCAACTTCAAGTGCTCTTGTTGTTTTCACAAAGGAAAACTTGACTGGAAGTCAGTTTGGAACAGGATTTCAGTAAATGTTTTCATTAGGAGGTCATAATTTCAGTCAAGCTCATTTGAATGTTTTTGATTCAACCTACATGTAGGCTTATAATTCCCTTTTTACTCAGGGAATAAATGTGTGCTTGGGAGGTGTTAAACACTGTGTTTAAGGCTGGTTGGAGTCTGGAATGCTGATAATCACCCAAGGCGAAGCTGAGGGTAATTATCACCATTCCCATTCATAAATACCTTTTTGGTCCAAAAATGGAAATTGGCGCACGTCACGCGTGCTGCGCGATGACGCGCAGATGCAGCTGTAGTGAGTGCGTTGTGAATTTAGGACCATGAAATACTGACTCACTGGTAGTATTGCGCATGCCTACGTGAGGATTGTGAACATTCAACCAATAAAACGGTAAAAGGCACTGCATTTCATAGGAGTCCAAATTTCATGTGACACTGGAAAAGTGTTTAGGACCAGCCAGCTGGGTAAACTGTCTTAGGTATTTATGAATTAATTATAATGTGAACTGTATTGTTTCAGTAGGTGACAAGTAGTCTTAAAAGAGTTTCACAATCTTCTTGGAAAGGTTTTCTTGGCTCAGTGCATACAGTGGCTCTCTGTCTTACTTTTCATCACTACTTTCCCTCAAGCGTGCCTAAATTTTGACATAGGTGAAAAGGGCACAGGGCAATTAGTTTCCATTCTCATTCAGTCATCAATCGACTGCCTCTACTGAGGGCTATTTTTATACTAGAAACTTAATTTCAGCACTTGTAAATAAGTGCACTCTTGCCTTCATAGTTGATTTGGCTTAGTTCTCATTCATAAAAACACACAGATGGGCACACAGTGCCTTCTTCACTTCCTGCAACACAGCATTTGGATAATTTGCTATTAACTTTCAGTTTGAAATTGTGCAATTTGTACTTTTTTTGGTCGTTATTATATGATTGTTTTAAGTTCAAAGCAAATTTGTATCTTTGGTTTTCATTGTTTTTTCAATAGTTTAAATTGTATGCATTACATGTATGTCAATCGTTTCCTTGAATTGTTTGAGTAAGAGCCCTGTTGTCTCTTGAAATCTTTCATTTGTCTTTATTCTGATTATAGCCTTCATATTCCAACCAACCAACAAAGACCAGCTTCCTGTAATTCTGAGTCACCCAGACAATAAAACAGCCCAAATTACAAAACTGGACCCTCATAAATAAAACCCCCAATAAAAAAAATAGAAGAGAACCAGTGGTAGCTAGAGAACAATCGTAATTACATTGGAGAAGGCACATGAGTCATCTGTAATGAGTTAGTGTGGGCCTCACCCGCTCCACTGGTTCCACACACTGCCCGTTACCCACGCTCGCCAAATTACTCACGGATAATATTTTCAATCTTAATTTCACAAGGGTCCCGTCTTTGAACAACAATGCACCGTACGCAAGATCTGCACTGAAGTAGCCACACAAGACTAGTTCTGTGTAATGAGAACTTAATTGGGTTTTTGTTATTACGGTCTGTTTGACAGTTAATGAGACTAATTAGTGCTGCCTGCTTGTTCCATCTGTACTCTATCAACATGTGTCTCTGCTTTTATGATTGATAGTAACACGGACCTACTCCACGCTGAATGTATAATGAAAAGCTGATGAGTTTTGTGCTTAATCTTTCCTGCGCCGGCGCTATCTACGACTCGTAATCACTGTTAGCCGTCAATCCCATTTCCAGCTGTCATCTGCAGTGGAAGATTTGTCGCTACTAATTATAACCACATCACACTTGTGGGATGCAGTATATGATTGGATACAAGTAATATAAGCACTGGTGTTATTGATAGTGTCATCTGGTATTAGCTTGTATTTAGGGGAAAAAAGATTTTGTGTGGTGCTTTTATTGATTTTTGTCCTTTTCATCAGAAAGCAGTGTGAGATATAGGCCCTATAACATAAAAACTGATGAAATTTCAGTGGTGGAACTGCATAAAAAGGCAGGGTTTTTTTTTCCAATGATGGTCGGCCGACCATCGTTGGAAATTGATACAAAAATGATACTTTCACTAAAAATGACAGCACACCAGGTGCCATGATTTCACAGGATGCTTGAGACAATTATGCACTTACAGTCAAGTGAGGTATTTCATAGTAATTTTGGTTGCTTGTTTTTTTATGTTTGCAAATGTCGTATATTACCTTTAACCCTAAAAGGGCCGGGGGGGGCGGAATCCGCCCCCCCCCCTCAACATTTTCCGTGATAGCCTCTAAAAAAATTTTTTTCACGACCCGAGCTGTTATGACTTTTTAGCCTCGAGCTTTGCGCATCTTTTGATACCAAAAACATAAAAATCGGACCACGGGTTGCCGCGTAGCGAAAAATTTTCCGGCGCTACGCGCCGGGAAACTGAATTTTTGCATATACGTCCTGTACACAGAGCAGAATTGCCATTCGTACATACAGTGACATATGAATAATTAATTAGCCATAATTCCAAAACCCTTTGACCTATAGTCATGAAATTTCTTGGGTATGTTTAGGAAGAGTTGCTCTATGCATGTGTTGAGTTTCAAAATTTTTCGACACTCGATGGCCGAGATCTTAGGGGGGGGCGGAATCCGCCCCCCCCCCCGGCTGAGAGATGGTCAAAATAACCCGGCCCCTTTAGGGTTAAGCAAACAATCAAAGGTTTGCCATTTGCATGATGCACTTCAAGAAAGGAAATATCAGGTTTTTGTCGGACCTGAAGAGCCAGTGTCTTGTTCTCTGACTGACTGAGTCACCGACTGACTAGCTGACTTAGTCACTGAGTATACATGATGTCCTCAACTCAGACTTTCGAATCAAACTTGACTGGACAAGCCTAATCTTGTTTTTCAGTAATATGTAATACTTTGGTCAGAATTGTGAAGTAAATTGCATTCTGTAAAATTGTTCATTTCTTTGTCCCTTCAGTGCAGTAAGATTTGTCTTCCTTTGGGAGGCATCTTTCTCCCTCCATAAATGACAAGAGGACACGCCCCTTCAGAGGTCCCTCATCTCAAAGAATTGGACTCATCATCAGTTTCATCACCAGATGACAAAGCATAACACAATGAGACATCCTCATCACCCACGACCTTATAACCAGACACACTAACCCGGACCAGCCCCGCATGAGAGCCAAACCCTCAGGCAAGTTATTCATCTAATATTCACCCTCAGTAATTCTTTATCCATTTAGCATCTCTCGCTCACTCGATGGAGCGTTTTGAAATGCCCATTGAGTTAATGCCGTCGAGTGCCTGCCCATTGACTGCGGAGCGCTTGGACAATGAGACGTGGAGGTCTTTGTGTCAACAGAGGCCGGGTCCTTTGTTAATGGCGGACCTCGGGCGAAATCGTCGAAAGGAGAGAAAACAAAATCTTTTATTTAGTTCTCAGCAGAGAGATGTAAAAGTCTATGGGGATTCTAGAAGCTGACGATGTTGGACGTGTTGTTCTGCTCAGCATCCCAGATTGGGAGACAATGGCTGAAATGACGGTTGGATTTCACGGGCATTGTATCCAATCGTTCTATCTGATTACAGCTGCGCTATTGCGTTACACAGATGTCAAGTTTCAGCCCGTGCCAAGACTTAAAGTGCTTTGAACTGTGTTGAATGTACGGTATTGTCAAAAAAAATTCTCTCTTTGATTTGGGGTTTTTAGAGGAAAAAAATAAAGAGATTAAAATAAATGGTTTGTTGACATTTTCGGGGGTGGAGTGAAGAACCTAGTATGGCTCTATGCATGGAGAAATGTTAGTTTTGGATAATTCCTTTGATTAATATTTTTTGTTCTGAAAGAAAGGTGCATGGCATGAGCACCACTTCAGTAGTTCGTGCACACATATACTGACTGAAAGAAAGCTGTTTCACAACCCTTAAATCAAACATACACATGTGCCTAGATTGTGGTATACATTCAAAATGATAGTCTGTCGCCCTCCAAACATGCTAAAAAACTATGTGAAAAAAGGTGCTTCTGTTGCAAAAGAAACGCATCTCACAATGAAGAAATGGAATCCCCAGCCCTCACTTTACAGTAAAGTTGACAAGTTTTACACGGGAGGGTCTGGGCCCAATTTCATGGCTCTGCTAACCACAGAATGCCGCGCTTACTATCACCATTCTGTGCTAACCGCGCAAGCAGAAAAATTCTGTGCTAACCCTGTAAGCACACAATCCTAAGTTATGGGATGTATGCATGCGCATAAGCCAAAATTCCTCGCTAATGTGTGAAATATGCTTACCGTAAGCATGGAATGTTCTGCTATAGTAAGCAAGGATTTTTCGCTAACTGTAATCAGAGCCAAGAAATTGGGCCCATATTGCACACAAAGCCCATAGAAGATAGAGCTAGGCATCTATGCATAGACCGTCATTGGTTGGAAGAGGATCCCCACAAGTGGAAAACAAAATGGTAACATGAACTCAATTAGGTGTTAAAACTTAATTAAAATTTTCCTTCCTCTAATGAATGACCATAGCATGGAATGACTAATAATGTATGTGAGACAGGTGCACCAGTCTGTTATAGAACCGAGGCGAGCAGCTTATTAGTTAAACAACCTCAGCTCGCATTAGTTTTAATTCAGTGCACAAATACATGGGAGTTGTGCCGAACATTGCCATGTACCGGTACCAGAGGTGTCTTAATTAATGGTGTAGCTGTAGAGTACCCATGAGCATTTACTCTTTTGCCATCCATGTGAAATTAGAGAACTACTAGACAAGGGTTTATCCAAAGAGTAAATCAGCAATACACCGCATCATTTGCAGGGGACTTAATGCTCCCTTAATTTCTAGGTTTGGCTCCTCTAGTTGCTCCTAACAATTTAGTTGCAATTTCGCAGATGTCTATTGTGCTCTTGGATGCAGAAAGAAATAGAAGTTAAAGTCCAAATATCAAATATGATTAAATATACCGGTACAGGTAAGAATACCACAAATTCCGCAATTTTGAGTGACAATGGGCGATTCCAGAATTAGGGCCCAGGAACCCTGCAGCTCATAAACATTCACGCCAATAGCTGCATTATATCAGATGTGTTTGTATTTGACTGGTTGCCATTGTCTGAAACACCTGTATCAACATGGGAAAAGTCATCCCCTGCTAACCATAACATTGGCATTGTGATCGGAATCCCACATGGTGCGCCTGTAACTTCTCAATACCAGAAAAGCTGACTTCCAGCGAGATTTAGAGCTGAGATCAACGATGATCCTGATATGGCTAATGTTAAGGTTGATTTCACAGGTTTTTTCCGGGGCTGGATATGAAAAGTTATACAGAGATACGGAAATCGCCAAATCTGTTCCTAAGGTCCCAAAGTGGTCCTGAAACTTGGGGAGGTCAGGTTCAAATGGGATTAACTTACTTCTATCAATGCCAACTTAATCCTTCAAAGAATTCTGAAATTATTCTCCTGTTATTTGACCCAGAAAAAAACCCAAGATTATTTAATATGCTGCATAACTCATATTCCACAGTAAGGTGTTTTCTATATAACTAAGACAAAAGGTCCAATTCCCAATGAAAATATATGTCAGTGATGTAGTGCCTTGATGCTGGGCCTTGGCCTTAAGGCTGCCTTAAGGCTGGATTTTAGGGCCTTGGCCTTGGCCTCGAGGCTTGAGGGCAAAAGCCTTGGCCTTGGCCTTGGCCTTGAGGGTTCAGGGCCTTGCAATTTTGAGTCAAGGCTCTTCAAGGCCCATAGATTTTTGCATTTTCCAGATAAATCTGTTCGAAATTTTGCTGTTACCATTTTAATCGTATTACCATGGAGGAGGGAAGCACACTATAGATTTGTGTGTTGGGCACACGTCCACTTTTGTAGCATCACATTTTGTTACCATTGTAGTAGATTTGCTGCAAAAATATTCCGTACACTTGTGGGGCTAATGAGATGATCACTTTAATTGCATATAACTATGGAATAGAGCTGATTGGTTGTATTTGTCTCCCTGATAAGTGCTAAAGATTTGCATGTATCAGCTTTAGACAATGCTGATATTTCTGACCATGTTGGGCCAGCAAATAAAAATTTCCCAAATCAGTTTCTTGGACCCCCCTTTTGTTACACTTGGGTCACTCATGTGACTATAAATAGTTCTATATCAGTGGTCATTTCATAAAACAGGGCCTTGGCCTTGGCCTTGGCCTTGAGGGTTAAGCCTTGGCCTTGGCCTCGAGGCTTGAGGGTCAAAGCCTTGGCCTTGGCCTTGGCCTTGAGGGTCAAAGCCTTGGCCTTGGCCTTGGCCTTGAGGGTCAAAGCCTTTGCTCCAACACTGATATATGTACCTTCCATCCTCTGCCCAGTCCATGATAATCAGTTCCATTGCTGTTAGCCTACAGTCTGATACACATCTACTCAGATGAGAAAACAACATAATACAAAACAGAAAGAGAACCAAAGTGTCTGCTTCCTCCGCATGTGGACGAATCCACAACTAACTCCTTCTTTACATATTTACCTGATATTTTCGCAGTGGAGGCTGGTATGCCCTCGGCCTGTAATACATCCTCTGCTTCCTATCCGTGTGGATGTCTCCAAGAAAGAGCTCCTCCCAAGAGACGAACTTGGCGATCCCCGTATTGAACTCCGAGTGGAACTCCTGTCTCACAATCTGAAGTTCGTGCATGGCGAAGTCCATGGCTTCCGTGCACTCCGTGAAGGTGCTTTCCTGCTCCCAGTCCACAATGACGTAGCGCTGGTAGAGCTCCAAGACATCATTGCTAGAACTGAAGAAGCCTGGGCAGGTCCTGTTGACCTGGCTCCGCAAAGTCCTCCCGAAGGTCTCGTCGTAGACGACCATGGTTACCTTGGAGACGTGGTACTCTGCCTCCGTGGCCCCGCTGACGACCCAGGACTGTTGGCCAAGGGCGATGGTGCCGCGGATCTTGAGGGAGTAGGCGGGATGGCGGCACTGGTCGTCTGTGTAGAAGAACTGATGCAGGCTGAAACTGGAGTCTGAGTGGAACTTGTACCGGCGTAGGATAAACTCTGGACCGGGACGTACCTCACATCTGTCAAAGGAAAATAAGAAGGGATAAATAAGATACAATCTTGTATCTTATCTTGTAGACCAAATGTCAAATCTGATAATTCAGCAAACTTATCCTAATAAAGGTGCGGGTAGTGTTGCATTCAGCAGATGAAGATATTCATTTCCAGGCAACTTTCCATCAGTTGCTCTGTGTTACCATTCAGTATACGCCATGACCAAGAACCATTCAGGCTCAAAGAAACAACTGGAAACTTGATAAGGCAATCTAATAAGCGGTTCCTAGATATCTCTGCCCACCTACTGAAAGATTTACTCCACAAGAATCTCTCTCTCTATTACTGTTGATATCCAACCATCAATCGGCCCTTCTCCATGCACCGCCCCTTTCGGTTATCAACCCAATACATACATAATACAACATGAATTTCGATCATCTGTATTTTGTTTTCTACGGGAAGGGTATCGCTGTAATAATAAATCAATAAAATGCACACACACAAAAACAATTGCCAGTGGAGTTGAAGAGTTCTCGTCATCATCAACAACCCACTGCCCTGCAGAAATGCAGCACAGTCGTCATCACATGATGGAAACCAACAATACAAATTACCTCCAATATTGGATATCACTGGATGATATATGCAAATGCTATCATTGAGAGGACAACTCAATAAAACAATACTGGTTTGGGCGCAGAGTACAAAATATGCAAGCACCTCTGCAGGGTGGAACAAAATTACAACTGTATACGCCAAGGGCCACTCCTCCACCCCTCCCCCTCCCCATCCCCTCTTGGTAAGCCTGGAGTGACATCATAGTGGCACCTGATCCATGCCAGCCATTTTGGAAGGAGTGTAACGGTTAAAATTCACCGGAGACCCCCGAGGAAATCTTGTAAAAATATCCAGTTCGCGACCTCGGAGTTGTAAGCAGACTTGGGTTACAAATTGAATCACCGTGCCGTCAGGTTCTATCTGATCGCTGCGGCGTCGCTGAGAAAAGACGCTCGGGAAAAAGAAATTTTGGGTTGAGAGTTGCTGTGTTGTGCATGTGCTGGCTGTATCTTGGTGGGAAAAGATCATCGAATGGTGGTATACTGGCCAGTTATATGTATGGTATTTGAAACCGTGATTCAGGTTCATTGAGGAAATATGATCGGTTCTCAAAGTGGACTTGATTGGTTGTCGTATCTGGGGGAAATGGTCTCAAAATGTGCACAGCATTGTCCTACGCTGATTAGAGAAAGAAAAATAAAAGTTTGTACATTTGTCTTTTTTCATATGAGTGGACATTTAAGTCATAATTTGATTCAAAAAAAAAGTTGTGTTTCATGTACGTTGAGCTAAATTCCTCGACCCAAAGATACATTATATTCAATGATTCACCAAAAATGATGTAGTTTGTATTTTATTTGACCGAAGAGAAGTGTAAATATCGCATTTGAAGGAACAGTTTTCTCTTGAACATTCCGAGGCTAAACATGAAAATAAGCCTTTGGGAATTATCACTTATTACTCTTAACCCGAACTCTATCCAGGACGCGCGCCGCCCGCGAGGAGCACCAGGTGTGAAACGATGTCGAGGTGGGACGCACAGATAGAAAAGAGAGGGAATGTTTTGGCGCGAGGAACGAAGTCCTCTTTCGGTTTGCGTAAGTGATCCGTCTACTCAACGCCAAATCCGCGGAGAGCTAGAGGAGAGCGGTTAGGCGGAACAGTTTGGAGAACTTGTTGGAACGTTATACCGTCAATCATCGGTTGAAGCTGGCGATTGAGCGGATCTGCCGGTACGGACGGAGGGGAAAGGATTGAACATGTGTTGATACACTCCACATTTTAGTTTGGGATTAGGGATGGGAGAGTTTCTTGCGAGAGATACTTATTTGGTAACAAGTTGGCTGTAGTTATTGAAAAAATTCTACTCTAGTGACGTCGGTGGCCAGAGAGGCCTGCATGGAACAAATCAAAACTCTTATTTTGATGTCTTTTGTTGAGCTTCGAGTGCAGAGAAATTGGTAATTTAGAAATTTGGAAGTGAGAAGATGTGTAGGCTAAATGGAACATGAGTAACGTTTTGTGTGCATTGGTCTTGAAGTACATGTATTGACTATTTGTGTAACTTGGTATAAAAGCAGCGCCAAACAATCAGCAATCTGCGTACATGTCCCGTTAACTGCCTTCTGAAGCAACATTAGACGAAAACCAATGTATTACTTCATTGACATAATTGATCGCTCCATCTTCGATGCTATATATTCTCGTCATCCTAACAAGTAACATAACGTCTGGGCGTAGTCAGTATTTGTTCATCTCAGACTCAAACCAATAAAAGTATCTACCCGTCTCTCTCAGTGAATTGAGGCCAAGGTTCCGTCGGTTCATTGTCAAGTTTCCTCCCAAGCCAAAACTCCACACATCCACCACACGATCGGTCTCTCAGCATGGTCTTGTCCCGGACTCGTGTCCCGCTGTGCTGCTCAAAGGACGCCCCATTCGCCAGATGTCGCCAGCCATTACATACACCATTATTACCAAACGCTCTCGGACCCAGGTGGGGGCTTTCCAGAACCGCTTCACTTATTAACTATGGCTGGGTGTTAAAATTGGTAATGGACTTTTTTTCTTTCAGTTATAGGCGTGTGATTGTGTGCAGGAGAAGATATGTTGTTGACACTGCGCTTCGGAAGAAAAAGTTGACGCCCTGCCGCGCTTGCATCTTATGCCCTGTAGTTGCTTATTAGAGTCCATTGGTTTTATGATTGCTACATCTGAGATTGAGTTAACCCTAGGGTTGGGGTTGAGAATTAGATTTGAAGCAAAGGTCGTGTTCCCAGACGCTTAACACTGCGTGTCCTGATGTGCATCACTGAGTCTGGTTCTGATCTGTGTGACCCCGTACTGGGGTCATCTATTCTAAGGAGCCTGAGATTCCATCAGATAAACTGCAGTGAACTTTCCACAGCAGTTTTATGGAATAGTTCAGTTAGTAAACAAAATCATTTTCCTGACAGGGTTGAAAATAAAGAAAGCTTACCCAAATCCATAACATAAATTGAGTGTGCTTTGAATAATCTTCCTACCTGGAGTATAAACGGTTAAAAAAACAGTTTCTATTATAGAAGACGTCTGATTTTAGTTATTGGTAGTTTCTCGAACCACGAAAAATCGTGTCATTGGGGCTAAAGTCAAAGTTGAAAAGCAAATTCTTTCATCATGGAAAAAGTGTTCGGGTACTTCTACTGTGTATGTAATGAAGCATGCGTTTTGCTGGATGGATTATGTCCAATTTGCCGTAAACTATTCTTCAGTATGTGAGTGTCTGAAATGGTTCATTGCCATTACACAGTCAAGTGTCAACAACTCCAAATATTGCGCCGTATATCCGTCGTCGCGCCTGCACCGACTCGCCATGCCAAATAAATCTGTATGTCAGCGAGTTCCTCTCTGTCGGTAGAGAGCAATAGAGGGGTTACATTAATTGAAAAATATTTTCCCACCATATGTGTTTTCGTCTCGTGTACTTAAAGGAGCCCTGCGTCCTTGTGTGATATCGCATTCGATCCTGTGGCATTTTTGTGTGGGATGGTATTGAAACAAAGCCAGTTTGGTGTTAGACTAGAGATGTAATATATTTGGGAGTTATTACTCAAATATACATATCTGTGTTTTGGATATAAGACTAAACAGGGTTCAGTAAAGGCAGAGTGAAATTTAAAAAACAAATTAAATCTTAAACATTGTAATGCGTTCCTTCGTGTTGTGATCGGTGTGTAATGTTTAACGAAAATCATAATGATAAATGGTGTGATATAAAACTGATATGGGTTAACCTTTTGTTGGGTCAATGACACAAAGTGAAATCTAAACACTTGAAGTAAATCAGAAATGAGCGAGTATGGCACGATGACGTCATGGCTATATGGTAGATGTTTGTTGGGTAATATCCCTTTTGTTTCACGCGTTCCTCGTATGCAATTATAATATTCATTCACACTATATATCCTCACCGAGTATAATCCTATTTCGCGCAGTCTTAATTAATTACTACCATACCACGACCTTATACCACACCTTTATATTGCCCGGTGTTGGTATAGGCCTATACCAGCGTTGGTCCTACCCGCCACAAGGCATTTAACACGGATGAGACCGCAGCGAGTACCGGTCTCTGTGATGTACTCAGTGACTCATCATTCTGGTCACACTTTCCTCACCTATTAACTTCGACGAACGGCCCCAGACTGCACTTTAGTTAAAATAACGTAAAATAGTGCCCGGTCTCTGTAGGTCAGTAGTTGTAATGTATATACATGTAATGTATATACATGTACGTTGAGTTGCCAATAATGTTGTTCAGTTTGATTCCCCTGTCACAACACATAGGAGTCAGGGATTTGTACTTAAAGGGGTTATCTTGTCGTAGCTTCTCTTCTCAGAAAAGAGCCCTCTTGTGGTATCATTTTGTATCTAGGCCTATGCGTGGGGATCGTCACTTATGAAGAATGCCAGTGACACGGGTGAACATGCCGTGTCTGTTGGTATGGAGTTTCACTCGCAAGTTCATCGTTAAACCTATAAGAGACTCACTTTCAACTTGTTGATAAGGATATTTGGAAAGATTCGTACATTTGGTAGGGTTCTCTGTATACGCCGATGACTTCTAATACGTCATCAATGGCGTAAAGTTATGTGTCACTTCTGTTGCGAAACTGATGCCGGCCTTGTCTTCCATTTGGTGGATGCTTTCAAGTGGTGGGTGAATGGTTTTATTATGCTTAAGTCATACAAGACATGCGAGCAATCTTTAAGTTTACGGCTGCCGTGCAAGTGTCCAAGAGAAAGCTTTGTTCACACGGTTATATTGCTTGTTGTATCTGGACTCCATCGCCTGCCTATAAACCTCGCCATGGATTTATTAAATCAATTCCATCTCAGCGTGATCTCTCCGTTCTGGCCCCACGATCCATCCCCGCACACCGATACAGTAACAAATTGGTAACATGATGGACTCCTGTACCGG